GGTCAATCACAACGCACTGGATAGCTGGCTAATCAGAGCACACCTCGCTTTTCAGACCGATTAGTTTTGTAAAAATCGACGCGTTTCAGAAGGCGGGGCATAGAGGAGAAACAATAATGTACAGTATGTGGAAAATAATGTGTTTTTTTTACTTTAAACCGCATAAACACATTTCATTACACCAAATACACAAAATAATGTTCTTTTTAGCAGCATCATATGACCCCTTTAAGTAAGTTAGTTCTGTTTTGGCTGGGTTCTTCCAACTGGTCTACGACGGTAATTAGCTGGTTGTTAGTTTGTGTGAGTTGGTAAACTCTTGCACTAGCTAGCAATTAACTACCAGTTAGTTATGCCAGGTCTTTTAGCTCATGACCAGCTTGGCTCAAATTAGTTCAACTAGAAGCAGGGTAAACAAATGCATATGTTGTACTTTAGAGAAGTAAATATTTCAGTTATAATTTCACTCTTTATATTTCAGTTGGCTACTCAACAGTCGCAATAAACTATGTGGTTGAACCACAACAGAAGAAGCAGGTATGATATAAAGTAGTTAGACTAACCTGTACACTTTAAGAGAGTTCATGTGATGATGCTCTTATTTTCTTGTATTACAGGAAATTCCTAAGCCACAGAATGTGTCAGACGTATTGGATAAATTCCCAGTAGTACAGGTAAATTACTTTCGCATGTTTCCAGAGCATACTTACCCATGATGGATACTTTTAATGATTTTTATCTGCTTTCTTTTCATAGGGCAAATCTTCTCCTGTCAAAGTACTGAATCGATTGACCATCATAGCCTCTGATGCTTCTCATTTTGTAAGTTGCAAGTTTATCATGAAGAAACTAAACTGTAAGACATTTCTGCTACTGTTTTATTTATATGGTGAAATTTGTGTTATTCTCTTCAGAGACCAACCAATGAATACAAAAGCTTTGACCTTGTGGCAGTATATCCCAAGACAGAAAAACTCTTTCATGTAAGGGAAATTGCAATTCTGAATTAGCTTTAGAATTAGTATTATTTTCTTTACATATCGATGACAACCAACAGTTGTGATATTAAAGATTCTGTATATTTTCCCTCATCTCTGTCAGGCAGCCTGCATGACTTTTGATGTGGACATTAT